AAATAAGGATTTGATCTTATTTGATCAATCTAACAAGCTTCAATAGAAATGTTTATTTTTACGTTGGTCTTTTTTATTTCTTAATCGTGTAACCTTTATTAGAATAATCGGCACTATCTATAGATAGATAGATGGGTAGGTAGGTAGGTAGGTATAGGTCGGTCGGTAGGTAGGTAGGTAGGTAGGTAGGTAGGTAGGTATAGGTAGGTAGGTAGGTAGGTAGGTATAGGTAGGTAGGTAGGTAGGTAGCTAGGGATAGGTAGGNAGGGATTTGATCTTATTTGATCAATCTAACAAGCTTCAATAGAAATGTTTATTTTTACGTTGGTCTTTTTTATTTCTTAATCTTTTAACCTTTATTAGAATAATCGGCACTATCTATAGATAGATAGATGGATAGATAGGTAGGTAGGTAGGTAGGTAGGTATAGGTAGGTAGGTAGGTAGGTAGCTAGGTATAGGTAGGTAGGTATAGGTAAGTAGGGTTAGGTAGGTAAGTATAGGTAGGTAGGTAGGTATAGGTAGGTAGGTATAGGTAGGTAGATATAGGTAGGTAGGTAGGTAGGTAGGTAGGTAGGTAGGTATAGGTAGGTAGGTAGGTAGGTAGGTAGGTAGGTAGGTAGGTAGGTAGGTAGGTAGGTAGGTATAGGTAGGTAGGTAGGTAGGTATAGGTAGGTAGGTAGGTATAGGTAGGTAGGTAGTAGGTAGGTAAGTATAGGTAGGTAGGTAGGTATAGGTAGGTAGGTATAGGTAGGTAGGTAGGTATAGGTAGGTAGGTAGGTAGGTACGTAGGTAGGTAGGTATAGGTAGGTAGGTAAGTGGATGGATGGATGGATAGATAGACCGTGTCAGTGTTTTTAATGCACAAGTAAAGAAACCACTGGGACAAGAGTCCTCTGTGATCTTTGTTGTCCTTTCAGTTTCTTATTATTGCACCTCAGTGCTTTAACGGTGCTGAATGTGTCTCCTCAGAGCCCGTGTTGGTGCCGATCCGAGTCCAGCTGGTGTATCGGCAGCACGTCCTGAGAGAGATCCGAGCCAACATCACCTCTCACGTGAGTTACAATAACACCTCATGGTCTGCAGTGAACAGTTGGCTGTCTCAAGGCTGAACAAGTTAAAATAAGCTATTGATTTCCTTTCATTTCCTGTCATGCAAACAAAGTGCCAAAACCCTCTTGGATTTACAAGACATTAAACTATTTATTGCTCGGCCTTGAACTAAATATTCCAACCTCCCTTCCTGAAGCACGACTCAAAGCTTTCATGGTCCTCCAGCCAAAAGGAAATCAATATACATGGAGGTCATTTAACTAATAAAGAACATCCTTTCTTTCCTCTCCCTGTTTTAACGTCTGGAAAATGGAAATGTGAATCGCTTCTTGCAATTTATTTGAAAGAACCTTCCAAAAAAATAAGGGAGATTTTTTCCGGGAGAAGTGTTTAATGATATATGTGGCTGATGATGGTGTTTGGGAACACACAGAGACACACTCCCGCCTCT